AATCACGATGTTGGGAGTGGGAGTCTGCATTTGTGTTTTTCCAAGATCCCTAGTAATTCCAATGTACTGCAGAGTTTGGGTACCATTGGACTGGAAGCATTTTACTTTCCAAACAAAATTTTTTTTTCTGTATCAATAGGTGTTTTATTGCATCATTTAAACATCACAAGTAGGTCTCAGGAATCATCCAGCATCTTATTCCTGTAGCTCTTGGATCTTATTCACAAGTCTGCTGAACAGTTCCTTTTTCAGAGACATAGATGCCATCCCAAAATTTCCTGATATCCTTGTTTTTAACTGTTGTGGCTTGCTGAATCAAAGCTGCTGATTTTGAGACAAGCTCCATGTCATTTCCTTCAAGGATTAATTCATCTTTCTGGGCTTGAGATACTGAACAAGAAACACCTGGCCTCCTCCGAACCCTGCAGATGTATTTTTCACCCAAGAAATTTCAGATTTCAACAAGAGACCCAGTCTCCTGAATAACGACGCTGATGGGGAAGTGAGCTTACGCAGACCTCATCTTCTAAGGGAAGCCCAGTGTAACACCCTTGATCATGTTCTTTTTATTTATTTATTATTATTTTTTTTGAGACGGAGTTTCGCTCTTGTTACCCAGGCTGGAGTGCAATGGCGCGATCTCGGCTCACCGCAGCCTCCGCCTCCTGGGTTCAGGCAATTCTCCTGCCTCAGCCTCCTGAGTAGCTGGGATTACAGGCACACGCCACCATGCCCAGCTAATTTTTTGTATTTTTAGTAGAGACGGGGTTTCACCATGTTGACCAGGATGGTCTCGATCTCTTGACCTCATGATCCACCCGCCTCAGCCTCCCAAAGTGCTGGGATTACAGGCTTGAGCCACCGTGCCCAGCCACATGATCATGTTCTGTACATGACAACAAATACTCCCAACGGTAGCCAGTTCCTTTCTGTTACCCCACCATTTGTCATCACGAAGCCTCCTTTTTTTTCTTTCCAAGAAAACTGAGTTCTACTTTGATGTGATTGAAGTCCCTTCACAGGGTTCCTCTGGGGCCCTTCACCATCATTGTGCGGCCCTTCAGAGTAATGTTGACATTTTCTGGAATGTTGACAGTCTGATTGTTGAGAATGGTGTTCATTCTCGCAGTAGACACGGCAAAGAAAGCAATTTCCAGACATTTTAAAAACAACTGTGGGCCAGGTGTTGTGGCTCACACCTATAATCCCAGCACTGTGGGAAGCAGAGGTGTTAGGATAGCTTGGGCCCAGGAGTTTGAGATCATAGTGGGAAAAATAGCAAGACCCCTTTCTCTAATTAAAAAAAAAAACAAAGAATTACCCAGGTATGATGGTGTGTGCCTATAGTCCCAGCTACCCAGGAGGTGGAGGCAGGAGGATTGCTTGAGCCCAGGAGTTAAAGGCTGCAGTGAGCTATGATTGTGCCACTACACTCCAGCCTGAGTGACAGAGTGAGGCCCTGTTTCAAAAATGTAAAACAAAACAAAACACAACAAAACTGTGTCTCTCTGGGACAGGAGTTCATTCATTCTTCTCCTCATTTTGCAAGTGATAACTGAAGCCCTAGGAAGTTAAGGAAGATGATCAAGGTTGAAAGATTGTTTCACGTTCCAGGTAACTGAATTACAAACTCGGTCTATCAGACTAGATTCTGAAAGTGGTGGGATGAGAGACTGAGTAGGGGAGTGGGGAGCCGGCCCTGAAAGAGTGGTCTGAGCATGGCTTTGTGTCTGTAGGAGAAACAAGAAAGCCGCTTCAACACTCTGCCCCTCCCGTCAATGCCGTTTCTGTCTGTAGACTGCTGGTTTGCATTTCATTTACAGGGACACAAAATGGAACCTTTGTGCTGGAATTGAAGGAAATTATAAAAGCCCACAGCTTCTCTTCAGACTTAATGTCAACTATTTGTCTCCTGTTATTTTCAAACAAACAAGTCCTCCCTGTGAGTTTTGAGGCAATCTCAAACGCTTTCTCCTTTGGTTCTTTTTATAGTTTCCTAGTCCCTGCTTCGGCAGGTATGAGAAAAACCCACCATTCGTAGAATTGTCCTATCAGCCACATGGCGCGGCTGTAGGGGTCAGATGAGTCCTGGCCAGAGGCTCTGAGCAGGATGGTGGGTTACACAGATGCACACAAGTGTGCAAACAAATGATTGATGAGACCAGGCTTTCCTGAGGATTCAGGGTTCATCAACTAGAAACTTAGAAGCAAGGATGAAAGAGGAATGACTCCCAAACCCCCCAAATTTATTGCCAGCTGAAACATATTTCCACCATCTGGCATCCTATTTTACAGATTAGGAGATGAAGACATTTATTTATTTATTTATTTTTATTATTGTACTTTAAGTTTTGAGCTCCATGTGCAGAACGTGCAGGTTTGTTACATAGGTATACACTTGCCATGGTGGTTTGCTGCATCCATCAGCCCATCATCTACATTAGGTATTTCTCCTAATGCTGTCCCTCACCTAGCCCCCCACCCCTGACAGGCCCCTGTGTGTGATGTTCTCTTCTCTGTGTCCATGTGTTCTCATTGTTCAACTCCCACTTATGAGTGAGAACATGTGGTGTTTGGTTCTCCGTTCCTGTGTTAATTTGCTGAGAATGATGGTTTCCAGATTCATCCATGTCCTTGCAAAGGACATGAACTCATCTTTTTTTATGGCTGCATAGTGTTCCATGGTGTACGTGTGCCACATTTCCCTTATCCAGTCTATTATTGATGGGCATTTGAGTTGTTTCCTAGTCTTTGCTATTTGCCAATCTGTGTCTTTTAATTTGAGCACTGGGCCCATTTTTAATTCAGGTTACATTATGTGTGAATTTGATCCTGTCATTATAAGGCTTGCTGGTTATTTACTCATGAGCATGATGCAGTTTCTTCATAGTGTCGATGGTCTTTACAATTTGGTATTTTTTGCAGTGGCTGGTACCAGTTTTTCTTTTCCATGTTTAGTGCTTCCTTCAGGAGCTCTTGTAAGACAGGCCTGATGGTGACAAAATGTCTCAGCATTTGCTTCTCTGTAAAGGATTTTATTTCTCCTTTTCTTATGGGGCTTAGTTTGGCTGGGTATGAAATTCTGGTTTGAAAATTCTTTTCTTTAAGAATGTTGAATATTGGCCCCCATTCTCTTCTGGCTTGCAGGGTTTCACAGAGAGTTAGTCAGATGGGCTTCCCTTTGTGGGTAACCCAACCTTGAGATGAAGAAATGTCTAACAGTGCCAAAATACGGAAGACAAGAAAATAACTATCTTTTCATTAGAGGTAGACAGGCCCAGGTTGGGTGGCCACTTGCATGCCATGCTCTATGGGGACTTGGAATGGGTGACTTTAAATTCTGAGGCCTATGGTAGGTCTTAGAAGGAGAACTAAGATGTTTTACCTTACAATTAAAAAAAAAAATTATGATGTGAAAGTCTAGGTTAAATGACTATTTGAGCATTATTTCTTCCCTAGCCTCAGAATAGTGACATTGTGAATTCTTCTAGAACTGCACCGGTGTGGAAGATTACCACAGATACCCACAGCAGGGAATCCATAAGATCTGGCTCTAAATAGGGTTGACATTCTAGAGCATGAATGCATCTCCAGGTTGCCATCCTTTGTTATATGTGTTATAACAAAATCCTAAAATATGTGAATAATTTACTTTACAAAAACAGTGGAATTTAAAGTTGCCCCTATCAATGACACACTCACTTGCATTCCACAATAGTTCCTTGATTAGGGAAAAAGAGGGATGGCAAACCTGGGAACTGCTTATCTCGGCGGAGTGTTCCAGGAAGAAAAGAGTCAGCCATCACCCCACTACTCAGTCTAAACCAGGGCTCCCCAGAGTATGAACCACAGACCAGCAACATCAGCATCATTTAGGAGTTTCTTAGAGATGGGAATTCTCAGGTCCTCAAAAAAGACCTACTGAATCAGAACCTCTAAGGTGGGACCTGGGTATCTGTAGTTGCACGAGGTCTCTAGGTGATTCTAGTACTTGCTAAAATTTGAGAAGCACAGTCTTAGACCCATGGTTCTCAAAGTGTGGCCTCCAGATCAAAAGCACCAGCATCATCTGGGAGCTGTTCAAAAGCATCTGAGACTCTTTTTCAATGGGCATTTGTAGGTGATAGTGGAAATGCTTCATGGCACTTTTAAGTGCTTAAAGGCCACAGAGATGGCAAAATTGAACATAGAAACATAATTCTTAGATATGTGCATGTGTCTTAGAGCTGGAAAGGAACCAAAAGGGTCTCTTGGACTCATTTCTTGTTTCTAGGTAGTTAATAATGTAATCTTACAAATCTCCAGTATTTTCTTTTTCTTTCCCCATTTTGGTTTAAAACAGTGGTTGCTAAATCAGCAGCTATGGAGTTGGGCCCAGTAACCTGTGCTTTAACAAGCTCTCCAGGTGGATGCAGCCTCAAGTTTGAGAACCGCTACACCATGGTTTCCATCAGAATTCCTCCCAGCCTGGCTACATAGAACATTAAGACTTCCATGTTTCAGCCTGGGCTTGAGGCCCTGGTAGCTGACTCCTGGCAGCTGCCCATCTCTGCTACATTCTCTCCCTGATTCCAGGCTGAGAGGTGCAGGTTGGATGTTGCACTTGTAGGTAATGTGACCACACTTGGACTCTGGTAGAGGAGATAGCAAGGTTTTGAAATGAGGACTTTTTTTTCTTCACTTCCCCTCTGTGGACCTGTCTCCACACAGCCCCCAGCCTGCCCAGCACTATCTGCTTTAAAGCTAGGAGACTGGAAAGCAGGACACCCAGAGATTGTCATGACAGTCCACTGCTCTTGAGCAAAGGCATGCCTGCAAGCCTTGGCAGGGCTCACCTGGCTTGTCTCCAGCTCCACAGAAAGCATGTCCTCTTCTCAGGAGGTGAAGTCATCTTAGCTTCATGCAGAGACCATAGGACTTGGACCCCCCAGGGTGGCTACTAATCATTCCTCTCAGGCCAGTTTGAGGAGGCTCTGGCTAACAAGTATATTTTCCTGTAGGAATCTGGACCTATATTAAGAAATCAGTAAATATTAAAAAGAAGATGGATGCAAGAAGAATGAAGAAAGAAGAAGGTAGGATTGGGAGCGTTACCAGTGGAAGCTCCTGCACTGGGGTTGGCTAGGGTTGGAGGATTTGCAGTGGGAAGAGGCCACTGGACAGCCACTCTCGTTATGCTGGCAGAGAACACAGCACGTTCAGGAGATGGAAGGGGGTTGCCGTTCATTTTGCTCCAGGCATTTGAGGCATTTGAGTTTGAACTCTGCCAGTTTCATGCAAATGCCCTGTCCCACAAGATCTTTACATTTGTTTGGAGGAGGCAAGGGTGAATAGTCTGTGCTTACAGGTCTTGCTGGGAATTTTCTAGTGAGAGGTAATATCACACATGACTTTTGCAGGGAGATGGAATCCTTCTAAGGCACGTTCTTTACTGATAGATCTATCCTCAGACAAGCTCCAGCCCCTGGACACCCATGAGGCAGCCTGGGAGTAACTATACGACCTACATCTTCACTCGATTATCCCTATTTACAGCATTTTTTTTTTTTTTTAACTGCATTTAGTTTGGAGATGGCAAGATGACTCTTTTAACTCCCCTCCCTGCAAAACTCCAATTGAATGATCAGAGAAATATAGAATTAGGGTAAGAATGCGTCACATAAGAACACAGGGGAAGGTAGCAGCTGCAGGAGAGGAATTGAGTCATTTCTGCTAGGTAGAGTGATGTTGCAAGTGAAAGATGGGAAGGACCAACATGCCCATGATTTTGCATCTGTAAAGGAACAGGCTGCTTAAACTAGTGGGTTGAATTTCTAGCAACATCCGCCCTTTTCGGCAAACACCCCAAACATCTGGCCAACAACCATAGTGAAAAGCTTTATTTTCTTTGAGTCTTGTTAAGCTCGAATTCAAACCCACTACTTGTTGGGTATGCAAGCTAGTCAGCCTCAGTTTCATCCTCTATTAAATGGGGAGAATACCTACCTTATAAGGTGTAACTAGGATTAAATGAAATAGTTTAGGCTGGGAGGCATAGCCGAAAGTTTAGCTACCATTTACGGATTGCTACATGTCAAGTACTGTGCTAAAAGCATGTAAGTTATCTGTAATCCACAAGAAAGCTCCATGGACTTGTCTTATTCTAATCGCCATTTTACAGATGAGGCACTTGAAGTTTAGCAAGGTTAAGAAACTTCTTCAAGGTTCACAGTTATAAAGAGGGTAGTGTAGGAATTTGGAGCAGCCAAGTGCAAAACCCATGCTTTCAAGCACCAAACTGTACTGTTCCAAGCCCTTGTACTTTCTTTAGTCCTCAGACTAAAGAAAAAAAGTAGAAGTTCAGGGGTAAAACAATTTGAGGTTATGCAAATATTTAAAGTCAATCAAGTCTGCTTGACTCTGTCTCTTGGTTCTTACCATTCTGTCGCTGTTTAATTGATATACTTTCTAGGATGTCATTCTGTTCCCCACATTGAATTGGATTTTATTCCCATTGAATACAAGGGGTGCAATATAGAGAGGACCTCACAATCTGATTCCAACGCCTTCCCGTTTTTTGAAGAATTGAGCTATTGCATGTGACTGCCTCTAAATGGCCTGCATTTCTCTTTGCTGGTAGGACTCACAGAAAACACTGGACTTTTCCTGAAGCTGCTTGAAAAACATGACCCCTGGCCAGCCTCTGTCACCTATACCTCTCAGACAGTGCAAAGACTCATTGAGAAGAGCAAAAACAGAGAACTGGAATGCATGCGTGACCTCGAGGAAAGCTCCTGGGCATCCAGGAAGAATAAGCCTTCCAGCGTCATTCAGCTGAAAAGGAGAAAGTTGTCCCAGTCTTCCGGCGAAGTTGTGTTCAGGGACACGCTGTCAGAATCCACGTTATCAATGTGGGGTGCTTATTCAATATCGACCATGGCTCCTACCATGATCCCAGAACCCACGCACTTACATACGGATTCCAGAGACGGCCCCACTGAAAACTATAACAAGATCATCTTTGCCCGAAAGCCTGTGATGAGGATGCTCCCTACAGTTCGCTACTGACCAACAGGGAGAAACACACAAATGTTTTTAGCCAGGGGTCCCTGCAGCCATCCCCCAAGAATGTACAGCAATAAAGCTCTATTTGCCATGCATTTCACGGTGTCCTTTAAATCTGAAATTGCTCTTGCTCATGCAGAGCTTGGCTGAGAGAAACCAGATCAGAATGTGGGCTGTAGGTAGGTGGGTGTGTGCTCTCCCACACTGCTGTCTGGAGGGGTTGGGCAGTGCTTGACTGCAGTCTCTGCCACAGATACTCAGCACCAAAATATGGGTGATTTGTCTGGGTCCAGGCAGGAGCCAGATATCATACCAGCTATTTTATTAGAGATAATATAAATAACGATTAACCAGGTGACGGAAAAGGGCAGGAAGGGAATACAAAGGTATCCATGGAGGTAGCACCACAGGGTGGAGGCATCACACTTGAGGCTCGGGAACTCATTGAAAGGTAGTTGCTTGGAGAAAGGATACGGGACTGAATCTCAGACTTCTGAGGTGGGGGAGTGGGGGTGCCGCACAACTCGAGCTGGTGTCTCTGAGTTCGGAGGAGATTCCTTGTGGTGTTGGTGCCCTGGCCTCTGAATGGGGGAGCTCTTTTGTTGGTGTCTCTGAGGGGACCACCATGAGGCTGCTTTTGTGAGTGTTGGGAAAACCAAAAACTGCATTGAAATCTTTCAGGAAGGAGTTGCCACTGCCCTGGTGAAGAAAAAGCACTCCTAGGGTTAGCAACCTTCCTGGCACGGACAGGAAGCTGATAGCAAGTGAACAGGAAGCAAACAGGAAGTGAACAAGGAGCCACTTCCTACTTCCTCCTTTAGTCTTGCAGATTCCTGCTAGTGCACCCTGTGGGCAGAGCCTATCAGGGCACAAAACTGGAATGTGGTTTGTAGAATTCCAGCCCCAGCATCTCCAAGCATAGGATAGATTTTGAAGCCAAGAGAAAATTAGCTCTCAGCTGGGTTCTGAGTGATCCCATTCCTGAAGCTGCTTGAAAAACACGACCCCTGGCCAGCCTCTGTCACCTATATCTCTCAGACCCAGGAAACCAGCTGGGTCAGCCTGTCATAACTGGATCCCTCTTGCATGTGAAGACAAAGGTTGCTTGGAGATGGAGAAAAGTTCAGCATAGCTTGCTTTGCGGCCAACTCAGAGCATGGGTGAACCAATCCTAGCTGTCCTCTGACAAATAACAGCTGGAGTCCTGCCAGGAGCATTTTCCCCAGGCACTCAGCTCCACAAGGCAAACCTCAGAGAAGTGCAGGGGAAAAGAGCTCTCCATTTCTCAGCAGGGGACACCATGGTTCCCACTGCCACTTCTTTTGCCCTCCAAGAGAAAAACCTCTCAATACCAGGTCCGGGAGCAGCTTTGTTCTTGAGAAACCAAGAGACATCCCTGGCACTCCCAGAAATAGACATGGAGCCCTTACTAAGGCCTGAAGTCCATCACGGGCAGCCAGGGCATGGAGTGGAATGCAGGTTATTCCTAATGTAACCTCATCTGTCTGCCCAAGCTTGAGAGGCCTGGGGTAGCTCAGGTTATGCTAAACATATTTAACTTACATCTCTCAGAGGGACCTGGCTTTCTCTGATGTTCTGCAGCCGACAGCCTCTCTTCATTTGTCTCCTCTCCGTATGGAATTTTCTGCTTGGCAGGAGAGCTGTTTCAATTAGCCTCCCTGACGTAGTAGGTTCATGAAACATCAGAATATGTATTTTGTTAGTCTGTCTGTGTTGCTCTGTAACTAAGGCCCCATCTGACACATATTGAGCAGCTGTTTTGAGCAGATTCTTTGGCTCCCTGTACAGAGTGTGGTATTTACCCATTTGCAAATTCCTCGGTTGGTGTTTAAACAGTTGAAGTTTAACCTCAGCAACATGACAGAGCCTGCTGGTCATTTTCATATTGGCAGGGGCTATTAGGACATCAAGTAGTTCCAGATTCTGCAGCCTCTCTAGATGTGGCCTGGGAGCATGTCTTAAAGGAGATTAGTCTGTGGGACAGATAAGAGGCTGCAGGAGGCCAGGCGTGGTGGCCCATACCTGTAATCCTAGCACTTTGGGAGGCCGAGGTAGGTGGATCACCTGAGGTCAGGAGTTTGAGACCAGTCTGGCCAACACAGTGAAACCCCATCTCTACTAAAATACAAAAAAAATTAGCCAAGTGTGGTGGTGGGCACCTGTTATCCCAGCTACTTGGCAGGCTGAGGCAGGAGAACCACTTGAACCTGAGAGGTGGAGGTTGCAGTGAGCCGAGATGGCGCCATTATACTCTAGAGCCTGGGCAACAAGATTGAAATTGCATCTCAAAAAAAAATAAAAAAAGAGAGACAGACTATTTAAAAAAAAAACCTTCAAAGAGGTAACTGCATAAACAAAGGCACAGTGCAGATGTGGGCAAGCCAGATATTTGGGGGTGGCCCAGGAGGTCTCTAACCTAAACACAGAGGAGTTGTCGACTTTATTGACAGCAAGTCTAAGAGTCACTTTGGAATGAGACCAGCACAGTATGACTAGTCCCTTAGTCTTTTTTTTTTTTTTTTAATAGAACAGGGAGAACAAGACGGGTACCCTGAGGTAGGGATTTTGATCCTTGAGTCTTATAGGGGGTCCTCAGAGGCAGTGGAGGAGTCTCATGGAGCAGCACTGCTCTCCTGCTGGAATCCCAACCAGGGACTGACAATGTGTCTGGGAAGAGGAGAATCTAGGAGAAGGAATGCCAGCCCTGCCGCCTCGCTCCATGTGGACAGCGATTGTGAAAAGATTGATAAAGTGCTTTGCGAGCTGGGTCCAAGCAAATGTACACATCTGGACGATGCGGTCCTATTCAGCCTCGATTGAGTCACTTGGAGGCTTTTTGGAATCCCCACACTTTTAGAACAAATGGCGCGTTTTCAGAGACCACACATTATCAGTGCCAGATAAGAGTCGACAGATCGAGAAACCACGGGAGGTAGAGCCGGGGAAGGGGAATAAACAGGGACCTGAGATTTACTGTGATCTGATGTTGTCAGAGCCTGGGCCAAAGCTAAGGGCTGGGCTTGTTTGTCAAGTAATCAGGAAAAACTCCGCCTTTCTCTTTCTCTATACATCCCCTTCCCTCTGTCTCTCACCAGGGACCCAAGGCTTCAGCCAGCTACTGTGGTGCTTGGAAGTACCACAACAGTGTCCCAGATTGTAGGGCATGGCTAAGCTGGGCCTGTCCCCAGCACTGAGCATGTATGTGGGAACATGGGAGCGTGCTGGGCAAGGCCAGATGGGGATGAAGGAATATCTCATGTGAGGTGGGGTTTAAAGCCACCGCCATATTCTCTGCCTTGAACCTGACAATGATCTGATTTCTTTATGGGGCAGGGCAGAATATACAGGTACCCACTCTTGGTAGCACACCCTGCAGGGCAGCAGATGGCATGGAAAGGACCTTGGAATTGGTGTCGAGACACTCTCTTGTCTCCCAGGCCCTATATTCCAGGGCCAATGGAAATTCCAACCCCATCTATGGCCTTTGTAGGAAGCTTCTATTGCCTGGGACCCAGCAAAGCTCATGGTATCCATTCACTTCCTCTCTGGATTCAACTGGTCAGCCACCCAGAGCATTCTATTATTTTTGGTAGACAAAGGAATGTGACAAGCCACAGGATTTCAGGCAAGTTAAAAACCTGACCCTTGGGGTTGTTTCTGTGTGTCTGCCAATGGGGAGGATTTTTATGGAGAGCAGAGTCAGTCCTGGAAGTTCTAACTTCTGGGAGGAAGAAAGATGGCCCTCAGTGTGCCAAGCTCTCTGCTCACATTTTTGCATTTTGGAGCTTGTCTAAGCTTCCCTAGATGTAGGCCCATGCTCCCTAGTTGACTAGATAATTGTGGAAGGAGGAGAGCCCCTTTGAGATTGGAACCTGCGCCTGTCCACTCCCAGTGCAGGCTGCTTCCCCTAAATTCAGATCTCCTCTTCACTGGCATATCCATGACAACCCTGCCACTGTCCTCAAGTAGGGCAGATGTGCTTGTGCAGTGGCTGCTGACCCAGGTTCAGCCACGGCTCCTCTATTGTAAAGCAGCTCAATGGAGACCCCTCTTCATGGGGTCGATTCGCCGTGTGTCCCTGGACCAGCAGTGGAAGGATGGCAAGGCTGAAGGTCCCATGAGGCCTGGGCGAGGTCAGCTGTGCTCACTGTCATATTTCCAGAGCTCTGCAATGGCCTGGCATAGAGTTGGTGCTCACGTGTTTATTGAGCAAGTGATTTGTGAGAACAAGTCTTAGCACCCAATCTAAAATGCACTGGGAAGAGGTGGTTTCTTTCATCATGTCCAGAGGCTGGAAAAACCACTTGGCTCTTGTAAAGTCTGAAGCACTGAGTAGGCAGCTCTGCTATGAAGGTTCCGTCTAGTCCTGAGAGTGTGATGTGAGTGAACTCTTCAGTAGGTTCTTTTCATATACCTGTCCTTGCGGGATATTGGAGAGAGAGAAGGAGCAGGAGGGACAAGTTAAAAAAACTTAACATTTAGTGATTCTATTCTTTTAAATGACCAATCCATACCTGATGGAATTCCAAGTAGATTTCTTTGTCTTTAACCTTCATCAGAAGCGATGTAATTTCCCAGACCTAACTTGTTCCTTGTTCCCGTGTTTGCAGCATTCCAATGGGCACCCAAGAAATATGCACTGCGTGCTGCCTGTGCCGGGCTTGGTGCCAAGGGCCCAGCCGTGGGCACGGGAGATGCAATCAGGCTTATGTTCTGGTAGTGGAGCCTTAGACAAGCGCTTCATCGTGTTGCAGTGGTGATGCGAGTTATGAAGTGCAAGGCTCTGTCAGTGTATTTGCTTTAGGCTCATGACGTGTTCTCTCAGTCTCATGAAAGAGGGATTATGGAAAGAGGCAGGATTAGTATCAGGACAGCTGCTCATAAAATGGGGTGAGGTCATGGCGAATTTTTGGCCAAGTTGAATGTGAGTGGCTGGGTAAGTTTGTAAAACTTTGCAAAGCTGCCTTCAGTTTATATTCAGCCCCTACGTCCATGTTTGTTTCTGTAGTGCCATGGAGTGTTCCCTAGTTGAGACAGGCTTTAGGTTAGGGCGTCTCTCTCTGTAGCCCTGTATAGTGACAACACAGAGGAAGTGTCAAACATGCACGCTGTTCATTCCAGGACTCACGTTTCCTGACTGCCTCTCTATCCTAGATCGCTGAGCTTGGCAGCTACAAAGGAGACCTCAAGGCCCCATCAATGTCCTCTCCAGACCTGAGGTGGGTGCCAGGTCAAAGCCTTCAGCATCTGGCTCCTGGCCTGCTGGCCCCCACCTCACATTCCTAGTTCTCCAGAGCAAAAGGGCCAGCTCTGCCTCTCATTTCTTGACTGTGGCAAACAGTCTCTGCTTTGCCAGGTTTCCCGGGGGCCTCTCTGTAGACAGAGGCGTGGGGTGCATTTCAACCGTGACCTTGTCCTTGTTCTATCTCCTTCCAGCCTCTTTGGCGATAGGCATAGTACTCCTTGCTCTGTCTTTCACCCCTCTTTTTTTTTTTTTTTTTGAGACAAAGTTTTGCTTTTTGTTGCCCAGGCTGGAGTGCAGTGGTTCGATCTCAGCTCACTGCAACCTCCACTTCCTGTGTTCAAGCGATTCTCCTGTCTCAGCCTCCTGAGTAGCTGGAATTACAGGCACCCACCACCATGCCTGGCTACTTTTTGTATTTTTAGTAGAGACAGGGTTTTACCATGTTGGCAAGGTTGGTCTTGAACTCTTGACCTCAGGTGATCCACCCGCCTCGGCCTCCCAAAGTGCTGGAATTACAGGCGTGAGCCACCGCGCCTGACCTGTCTTTCACTCTTTTACCCTTCTTTTCTTCCTTTCCTTTCTTCAACTCCCTTTCTTCCTGTTGCCTCCCTCCCTCCTTTCCCTTATTCTTTCCCTATGGAGCTTCATTAATTATTTTTTAAATTGCAAAATCAAATGATGCTGCTTGTTGCAAGTAACTCAGGTTTTCTTGACATATAAGTGACAAGCGACTTAGATTGTGTCAAAGCTTTATGGGGAGGGTAGGCCCTTTAGTATTCAGATACTGGGAGTAGGAGCTCCAGCCTGAGGACAAATGGGAGTTCCCGCATACTTTCTGGGAAGCTCTGAGAAATGCTTGTGTATTCCACAAAACCACTCTAATGGCCAGTGATCTGCACCCACCTCCACCCCCCAACTCCCGCCACCCGTCTCCTCCCTGAAGCGGCTGCTGCAGGATCCCAGGCTGCTGCTGTTCTGCCCCTCCCCACTGTAGCTGCTGTGTCCCCCTGCAGCTTCCAAAAGCACAGCTCTGCCAGGTTCGCCAGGGGTAACAGAAGCTAAATAGAGTAATTTACAATTGCTGCCAGAAGTGGCTACTCTGGGGGGTGGGCCTAAATCACAACCTAAATGTGGTATCTGTTCCTTGGTGAGGGCCGGCTCACCCTTCAACGTGGATCTCAGCGTATCTGCGTAACTCAGAATCCAGGTCCAGTTCTCCCTTCATCCTGGACATTGGGGCCTCCTGCGCCTTACTTTCCCCTGTCCACAGCCTCTTTCTTTTCTTGATCACAGACAAAACTGCCACTGAGAACAACAACAGCCTCATCCATGAGATGTGGTTTAGTTTTCCTGCCGTGGAAAAGCCAGCCACAGCATCCAGCACCCAGCAGTACATTCTCTGTTGCAGGACTTGGTCAGTCAGGAAATACAGTGCATTTGGAACTTCAGAGTGATTTAGCAGAGCAGCGGGTTTTTGTCTGGTCCTCTTTAGAGTCCTACTGCCAGAACATGAGGAAGTTAAGCCTAATGATCACTCGTAGCTTTCAAACAGAACACACAGCACTTCCACCACCACCATCATCACCCTGACCACCTTCATTTTCACCTGCAACCTCATCACTACCGCCATGACCATCACCACTATATCATTACCACCACCATCACCATCATCACCTCTACCTCTACCTTCAATGACATCACCACCACCACGACGACCACATCACCATGACCACCACCACCCCCTCCATCGTCACCTGCAACCCCATCACTACCACCATGACCATCACCACCATCAC